GCCCAAAACAATACATCATTTGATCTTTTTGGCTGATGCTTCCATAAGCATTGATCACAGATGCAAGCAAAATAAAATCTTTGACAACTTAAATTTTTTATTCATTTATTATGATATTATTTATTGTTTTAGTTTTGAAGATATTTGATATCGTCACATTGAGTTTTCATCCATACCGAAGTCTGCAATCCTAGATCTTCATCAGCAAGTGATCCATGTCTTCTTCACTTTTAGCAATCAAGGTTGTGTCATCTGCATATTGAAAGTTGTTAATTAGCCTTCCTCTCATCCTGATGCAACCTTCTTCTTCATATAGTCCAGCATCTCTGATTATTTGCTCAGCATATAGGTTGAATAAGCATGATCAAGGATATAACTCTGATTCGTCCACATCCTTCTTTGGAATGGGCACAAATGTGGATCTCTTCCAGTTCATTGGCTAGGTAGTTGTTTTACAAATTTCTTAGAATATACATGTGAGTGCTTCTAGTGTTTTCTCAGCTTGTTGAAACATTTCAGTTGATATTGTCTCAATTCCTGGAGCCTTGTTTTTTGGCGAATGCCTTCGTTGTAGCCTGGACTTTTTCTTTTAGAATCATTGGTTCTTCCACTGTTTGTCTGTCAGTTTGTCCTACTGTGGTGCCTTGTGTGCTGCTGGAAGACATGCCATTGGTATTTCAAATGCCAGCGGGTTCTTTTACACCTTCTACACCAAAAACAGACTAGACAAAGAAGGAATTGACTGCCTGCTTTGGGGGAAGTATCTACTGAAACACAGTCAGAAACAGTGCAGGAAGATGAGCTCTTCACGTCAGAAGGCACTCAAGGTATGACTGAGGAAGAGCTACCTGCTCAGAATAGAGTCCACCATAATGACTTGAATGAGAAACTCCTGTGGGAGGAAAGCCTTGGAGGCTTTCATTTGCTGATGGGGCACAAATGAAAACAAGAAGAAACGGCTAGACAAATCCACTAATAATCAACACTAGGAATGTGCTAAGTATGAATCTAGGAAAATTGAAAGTCATCAAAATGAAATGGAATGCAGAAAGATCAATACCTTAGGCATTAGTGAGCTGAAATGGACTAGTATTAACCTTTTTGAATCAGAAAGTCATATGGTTTGCTAGACTGGGAATGAAATCACGAGGAATGGCATCAAATTCCCTGTCAAATAGGACATTTTCAAGATCCATCTTGAAGTACATTGCTGTTTGTGATAGGATTATATCTATCCACATTCAAGAAAATCCGTTCTACCAATAATATTCAAAATATTTTAAATATTCAAAGTTTTATGAACCTGCCAGGAAAGCCAGTTATGAAGAAGTTAAATAAGTCTGCCAACATCTTCAGTCTGAGATCGATCAAACATAAAGTTAATATGCATTGATAATTATTGGTGATTTGAATGCATAAGTTGGAAATAAAGAGGAAGGAA